TGTCTTCATTAACGACGATTCTTTTTTCTTTTTCTCTCGGTTGCAACAAAAGTGTACATACAGTAAAATTCGTAATCTTGTATTTGCATTGAATAAAAATTGCACAAACCCCAGTAAGGCTGAAACTTGTTACATTAGAGAAGGTCCTGTCTTGTTGAAATCTACTCAACGCTGCCATTTTTTTTATCTGAATCGATAAAGCTGATTTTCTTGTCGTCGTCTGATGTACCCAAATATGAAGAGACCTATATATATTTATATATATATATATATATGTGTATATATGTAATTATTTATTCGAAAATTATAACATAAATATGTTAGAAAATCACTACAAAAAATAGCCATTTTGTTTCCACACTTCTCGTGTCTTCTCAAGTGATGGTGTTGAAAGTAGAATAAAGGGTTTATATATATATATATATATATATATATATATAGAGAGAGAGAGAGAGAGAGAGAGAGAGAGAGAGAGGTCAGTAGATAGATCAGAAATAGAATGAGATGATAGATAGATATGAACAGACTGAGGTAGATAAATATGAACAGAGATATATAAGAACATACTTGTCTTCTCAAGTGATGTTGTTGAAAGTAGAATAAAGGGTTTATATATATATATATATATATATATATATATATATATATATATATATATAGAGAGAGAGAGAGAGAGAGAGAGTCGGTAGATAGATAAGAAATAGAAAGAAATAGATATGAACAGACTGAGGTAGATAAATATGAACAGAGATATATAAGAACATACTGAGAAAGAAAGAAACGAAAGAATTACCTACAAAGGACTAACATAATTCAATATATATATATATATATATATATATATATATATATATATATATATATATATATATATATATATATAAAAAAGGCTTAAACACTAATATTCCATGGTCATAATTTATTCCATTGAATCGTAAATACGATCCAAATCATCAGACCTACAAATTCAAAATGAAAAACAGAAAAAACAACTCCGGAAATCAAAAACGAATTTAGAGAAAGAGGCGTATGGGAGGAGGGACATGAAACCTTAACAGAGAGAATTTTAGGAGATGTGGGGGGAATTTAAAAAGAGGAGAGAAAGAAAGTCGACGGATGTCTAATGCATAAAGATACATTTCGTGGTGACATACATACCTCACAGACAATTAGAAGTTAGGATAGGAGGTAGGGGGAAAAAGAAAGAGAAGAGGGGGGAGAGAGATGGGACGAAGGAAAATAAAATTGAGTTTACTTAAAGGGCCGCTTTGTAATTGAGAAAATTAGTATAGACTCAGGTTAGGAATCAAATATAAATATATGAAGGTGAATATAAAGATTGTCTTATTTAGCAAGGACCAAATATTTCTATGTTTAAAACACACACTAATACACACAAAAAAAACAATACAAGTAGGTACATACACTTAGGCATGTACTCACACACACACCAGACATATGTGTACATACACATGCACATACATACACACATACATATATATATATATATATATATATATATATATATATATATATATATATACATATATATACATATATATATATATATATAAAAAAAAATATATATATTCATATATCCACTCATACACATATTTATCTATATTCATATACACACACTTTTCACATACATATACACGTATATATGTACCCCATGCATATATTCATACATACATACATACTTATACATACATATACATATACATACACATACATATATATACCCATATACATATATATACATATATATCCATATACATATATACATATACCCATACATATATATACACATACCCATACATACATATACACACACATACATATACACATACATACACACACACATACACACACATACACACACATGCACACATATACACACATATACACATGCAATTACATACATACCTTTACACATGTATATATATATATATACACATGCAAATACATACACCCTTACACAAGTATATATACACATACACACACATACACACACACATAAACATGTATATACATAAGTACACATACACACCTATACATATACATACATAAACACCTCCATACGTACATATATACACACATATATATATATATATCACTAAATCTTGGAAACGATACTTAGATGATTGCTTCATTTTTCTGGAAATCCTCATGGGGTGATATTAACCAATTCCACACTCTACTTCAGAACTTACACCCAGAAATCAAATTCACCCAAGAATATAATTTCAACGAATTACCATTTTTAGATATACTCATTAGAAATAAAAACAACCACATAATCACAGATATCCACCAAAAACATACAGACACCCAACAGTATCTTCATTTCAAGAGCCATCACCCAAAAAGCTGCCTGAAATTCATACCTTATTTTCTAGCACGTAGGGTTTGTACTATAGTGACTGATAAACATCTCCGAAAAACCCACATACAACTTTAAAAAAAACGAAGCTACCCAAAACCAAAAAT